CCCTGATGGTCCCGCCCTCCTCCTCCTCCTCGCTCCACTCACAAGCTCCACTCACATTTGGCACAGAAAATAAGAATTAAAGACCAACTGGAAGCTGATAGACAAGACCAGTTGAGCAGCTGAATTCTTTTTCTGTCTAATAAAGATTAAACAACTGTGAAAGTCATACACATGAGGATATTTATGACTGTTCAGTGATGTTACTCATAGTTGCTGCTTGGGGTTTAGTACATGATACCTTACCTGTTGCTCAGCCTGAGATTTGAGGCGCCCCTTCCACCCTAGACCAAGGGCAGATCACTTTTCCCATTCTTTGCATGATGGTTAGGTTGTTCAGCATCCCATCTCAAGTCACCAAGTGTACAGTGTCAGAGACCCCAGGCCTGGCCACTGTACTCTCAGGCAGTTCTGTCACAATATGATAACTTCCCTGTTTCTTACCCCCAAATGAGATACAAATGTGCAGTCTCTCCTACCTCTCCCTTTGTGTCTCTCTTTGTTTTCCTACCACATAACATCATGTTGCCAAACCCTTCATCACAATGCTTGCGTAAGGATTGTTTGTATAAGGATGTCAGATTCCTATTTAGTTTTACATTTCATGCCCTTTCCCAAGTATATAGCAAGAAACAATGTCAGTGGGTGCCCCCCCCCCGAAAGCTGTGCATAGTGAAAAGATTACAAGCCTAGGTTTTTACTGACAAGCTGTGCAGTTCCTCAAACTCCTACACAGTTCTGGAAAAGTGCATGGTTCATGTTGTGGAGGGGACAAAAAATGTTCCTGCAAAGCTGTGGTACAGTTTTTCTTTCTGTGCAAGTTTCTCATGGGGTGGGAGATCACCCTCAGTCAAGAAATTGGTAATTTCCATTTGATCCCTGTCTATATGTACATGCCAGCTGTAACAAGGACTGTGTGGGGACATCTGATGTGTTCTGTAAAGAAAATCCACCTCCATTTCATTTATATTGTATCTTTCAGTCCTTTTGCCCCCAAGCACATCTGGTCCCAAACCTATTCCACAACCATCCAAATTAACCATGTTTTCTTCTGTTTCCATTCTTCACAACCTTATTTCTTATATCAAAACAGTGACAACAAAAGAAAGAAATCCATTACTTTGGCACTACCTTTCTGTGGTCACGGGATTGTGTGAACCAGTGAGACTATGCTGATAGCAGCATACCTACTAGTAGACTCTCCCAAGTCCATTTGTGAAATTTTGGCAATAAAGTTGACTGGAATAAAATACACTAATTTCAATGTGGTACTGCAGGAGAGTTTTATGGATACCACAGACTGCTAAAAAGACAAAGGAATAGCGCAAATGAAGCCTGACCTGTCACTAGATTCCAAGATGACTAAACTGAGGCTCTTGCATGTTGGGCATATAATGGATCAACATGACTTTATTGGGAAAGATGATAATGCAGAGTAAAGTGGAAGGCAGTAGAAAAAGGAGTCCACACTACAGGTGGATTCATTCTATTATGGAAGCTATGGCCCTAAGTTTGCAACACCTGAAGGGCTGTTGATGACCTGAGCTCTTTGAGGTCTCTTATTTAAGTGAAAGTTGACTATTAATGGCATATAACAGTAACAATGGAAGGAAAGGAGGAAGATAGGTAGGTAAGTAAGTTCCAGTTGCGCCCAAAGTGTGAACATCAACCTCCCAAATAGATTTCATCTTGAAACATAAGCTTAAGTCACTGTTACCATACTTTTATGAAATCTACTAACCCAAACATTCTGTTGAGATAAGGGGCAGAATGCTGCCTATAAGACATTACAAAATACAGAGGGGAGTGTC